CTGGGCGACAGAGTGAGACTCCAACTCAAAAAAATAAATAAATAAATAAAATAAAATAAAGTAGCATCAATTAGAGAAGAAGTGTCTGGAAGTTAGCATATATTTTCTTTCCTTTTTTTTTTTTTTTTTTTTTTGAGTCAGAGTTTCACTCTGTCGCTCAGATTGGAGTGCTGCGGCCGCTCCCGGCCACTACAGCCTCGACCTGCTGGGCTCCAGCGATCCTTCCGCCTCAGGCTTCCAAGTAACTGGAACTACAAGCGCATGCTACCACACCCGGCTCATTCTTTATTTATTGTAGAGATGGGGTCTCGGCAAGTTGCCCAGGTGGGTCTCGAACCTGGCAATCCACTCACCTCAGCCTCCCAAAGGTACGGGATTAAGGCTGAGCCACCGAGCCCGGCTTTCTCTTTTTTTTTTTTGGAGTTGGAGTTTTACTTTGTCACCCAGGCTCGAGTGCAGTGGCCACCGCAGCCTCGACCTGCTGGGCTCTGGCGATCCTTCCGCCTCAGTCTTCCAAGTAGCTGGAACTACAGGCGCGTGCTACCACACCTGGCAAATTTTTGATTTATTGTAGAGATGAGGTCTCGCCAAGTTGCCCAGGCAGGTCTCAAATAGACTATATTTTCAACTGAATGATATTTAAAAAACAACGTATCAAAACTTGTGTGATACAGCTAAAGCCATACTCAGAGGAAATTTTATTGTCTTATAAAAAATAAAATATTAGCCTGGGTGCTGATTCAGTAAATGATACTGGGAAAACTGGCTGGCCGCATGTAGAAGATTAAAACAAGACCTCTACATATCACCATACACAAAAATCAACTCTAAATGGATCAAAGACCTAAATGTAAAACCTCAAACTATACGAACCTTAGAAAATGTAGATGATATCCTTATGGAAATCGGAACTAGCTATCAATTCCTGATCAAAACCCCAAGTGCCCATGCCATAAGAAATAAGATAGACAAGTGGGACCTCATCAAACTGACAATCTTCTGCAAAGCCAAAGAAGCCGTCAAGAGAGCAGGGAGACAGCCCACAGACTGGGAAAAATTAGTTGCCAACTGTATGTCTGACAAACGCCTAACAACTAGGATCTACAAGGAGCTCAAATGTGCCGAAAAGAAAAAACAGCCCCCATTACAAAGTCGGCAAAAGATATGAATAGACACTTCCCAAAAGAAGACATACGAGCAGCCAACAGATACACGAAAAAATGTGTAGCCTCACTAGTCATCAAAGACATGCAAATTAAAACTACACTGAGATACCACCTAATTCCAGTCAGGATGGCCATCATCAATAACTCAGAAAACAACAGATGCTGGAGAGGATGTGGCGAAAAGGGAACACTTCTACACTGTTGGTGGGAGTATAAACTAGTATAGCCTCTCTGGAAAACTGTAGTGATTCCTAAAAGATCTAAAAATCAATCTTCCATACAACCCCACAATCCCCCTATTGGGAATATACCCGGAATAACTCAAATCACTCTATGATAAAGATACCTGTACATGTATGTTTATTACAGAATTATTCACAATAGCAAGAACATGGAACCAACCATGCTGCCCATCAGAGGACTGAATAAAAAAAATGTACATACACATGATGGAGTATTACACAGCCATAAAGAAGGACAAAATTATGAACTTCACAGCAACCTGGATGAACTTAGAGTCTATAATACTGAGTGATCTAGCACAGAAACAAAGAACTGCTGTCACATCTTCTCACTCATAAGCAGACCTTGAACAATTATCGTAATACTGTAAGAAAAGGATAGAGCCGGGTTCAGTGGCTCAGCCTGTAATCCCGTTCCTTTGGGAGGCTGAGGTGTGTGGATTGCCTGAGCCCGCGGGTTCGAGACCCGCCTGGGCAGCGAGACCTCATCTCTACAATAAATAAAAAAAAAATCAGCCGGGCATAGTAGCGCATGCCTGTAATTCTGGATACTTGGAAGGCTGAGGCAGAAGGATCGCCAGAGCCCAGCAGGTCGAGGCTGCGGTGGCCGGAAGTGGCCACTGCATTCCAAGTCTGGGCGACAGTGAGACTCCCAACTCAGAAAAAAAAAAAAAGAAAAGGATTGACGCTAGCAGTAAACTGCTGGGGGAGGGGAAGGGAGGTGGGATTGGCAGTAGTGGGAATTTGCCGGGGGAAGGGGGGCACACCTCATCAACAAGGGTATCTGCATAATGTACATTTGTCTACCTAACCCTGAATTGTACCCCACATCATTAAAATAAAAAAATTTAGAGGCCGGGCTTGTTGGCTCAACCTGTAATCCCGCGCCTTTGGGAGGCTGAGGTGAGTGGATTGCTTGAGCCCGTGGGTTCGAGACCTGCCTGGGCAGTGAGACCTCATCTCTACAATAAATCAAAAAATCAGCCGGGCGTGGTAGCGCATACCTGTAATTCCGGCTACTTGGAAGACTGAGGTGGAAGGATCGCCAGAGCCCAGCAGGCGAGCCTGCAGTGGCCGGAAGCGGCCACTGCACTCCAGTCTGGGCGACAGAGTGAGACTCCAACTCAAAAAAAAAAAAAAAAATTGAGAGGAAAAAAACTTAGATGAAAGGGACAAATTCCTAGAAAAAACAGCTTATGTAAATTGATAAAGAAAAAACAGCAACTCTGTATAGTGTTTTATCTGTGAAATAAATGGAATCTGTAATGAAAAAATCTTTCAAAGAAAATCCAGGCCAAGATGGCTTCACAGTGAGTGAGTTTCCCCTTTTTTTTTTTTGTTGGGCTCTCACTCTGTTGCCAAGGCTGGAGTGCAGCAGCATGGTCATGTCTTCACTGCAGCCTTGAATTCCCGCACTCAAGCAATCCTCTCAGCTAAACCTCTCAAAGTGCTGGGGTTACAGGTGTGAGCCACTGTACCCAACCTTCCCAAGTCTTTGAGGAGGATATAACATTAATCGTATACAAATTTATCAGGTAATAGAAAAAAGGAAAACATTTCTCAGTTCATAAGATTGAGTTTAGCAATCTTAGCCCACTATGGAGTTCCCTTTGGTTATTATATATGTCTTAGAACTAAAATTTGCCAGGTGTGGTGGCTCATGCCTGTAATCCCAGCACTTTGGGAGGCAGAGGCAAGAGGATTGCCTGAGTCCAGGGATTCGAGACCAGCCTGGGCAACTTGGTGAGACGTCCACTCTACGATAAATAAAATTAGCCAGGTGTAACTACGTGCACCTGTGGTTCCAAATACTAGAAAGGCTAAGGTAGATCACCTGAATCCAGCAGGTCGAAACTGCGGTGGCCATGAGCATGCCACTGCACTCCAACCTAGGTGACAGAGTAAGACTCCTACTCAGCAACAATAAAAAAGGAACTAAAGTTCATCTCATACCTTTAGTGAGTTAATAGTGCTTCAACAGATATTTTACATGTCAGATTTTGTTTTTTCCCTTTACTCAATTCAAGAGAGAGTCTCAGTGCACAAGATGGTCCAGTGATACTAAATTTTTTTTTTTTTTTTGAGTAGGAGTCTCTCTCTGTCACCTAGGCTGGGGTACAGTGGCACACTCATAGCCACTGCAGCCTCAACCTGCTGGACTCAGGCAATCCTTCTACCTCAGCCTTCCAAGTAGCTGGAATTATAGATATGCGCCACCAAACCCGGCTAATTTTTCTTGATTTATTGTAGAGATGAGGTCTCGCCAAGTTGCCCAGACTGGTCTTAAACCCATGAACTCAGGCAATCCTCTCACCTCGGCCTCCCAAAGTGCTGGGCTTATAGGTGTGAGCCGCTGTGCCTGGCCCAGTGATGCTAAATTATGCTCCCTCATATGCACATTGACCAACTGGCATAGCACAATATTCTAGGAAAAAAAGACATTTTTGCTGACATCATACTTTTTTCCTCAATCTTCTACTCTGGAAACTGTTAATAGTAAGATCTAACTTAATTTTTTAATGTGTTTGTTTTTCTCCTGCAGACTCCATTAATAATATACCTCTTTCATTTCCTAACTGACTATGCTGAATTGGTATTTATGGTAAGTAGCCTTCTATATAAACTTGATATGTATATATTTAAAAACTTTACAGTTTATTGTCTTCTTTTTTTTTTTTTTTTGAGTTGGAGTCTCACTCTGTCACCCAGACTGGAGTGCAGTGGCCGCTCCCAACTACCGCAGCCTCTACCTGCTGGGCTCCGGTGAACCTTCCACCTCAGCCTTCCAAGTAGCTGGAACTACAGGCGTGCACTACCATGCCTGTCTAATTTTTTGATTTATTGTAGAGATGAAGTCTTGCCAAGTTGCCCAGGTGGATCTCGAATCCGCGGGCTCAGGCAATCCACTCACCTCAGCCTCCCAAAGGTGCGGGAATACAGGCTGAGCCACTGAGCCCAGCTGTCATTTTTTTTTTTTTAGGTGGATTCTTACTATGTTGATCAGACTGGTCTCGAACTTCTGAGCTCAAGTGAGTCTCCTACCTAAGCCTTCTGAGCAACTGGGACCACAGTGCCCAACTTGTTGTCTTCTTGTTTTTTTTTTTTTTGAGTTGGAGTCTCACTCTGTTGCCCAGGCTGGGGTGCAGTGGTACACTCATGGTCACTCCAGCGTTGACCTGCTGGGCTCCGGTGATCTTTCCGCCTCAGCCTTCCAAGTAGCTGGAACTACAGGTGTGTGCTACAACACCCGGCTAATTTTTTATTTATTGTAGAGATAAGGTCTCGCCAAGTTACCCGGGCTGGTGTCGAACCCGCAGGCTCAGGCAGTTCACTCGTCTCCACCTCCCAAAGTTATAGGCTGAGTCACCTAGCCCGGCCGTCTTCTTGTGTCTGTTTTAGGAACTTAGTAGTTTCTTAGAAAATAAAAGCAAAAACGTATTATCTTTAGTTTGAATTCACGGAACTGTGGTAGTATGGAATTGTGAGGAATAGTCTCTGACATCTGATTGGTTCCAATTCCCTATTTTTTTTTTTTTTAATCAGTCTTACTCTGCCACCCAGGCTGGAGTGCAGTGCGCATGCTCACGGCCACTGCAGCCTTGACCTGCTGCCACTGCCCCTAGCCTCCTTATTCTTTTTAAAATTTGGTTTCTGGATTATAAATAGTTTTGAATTTTCTAGCTCTGAGATTCTATGATTGACTTTAATTGTAGTGCCAGTGTGGAGGGTACTGTGAATTTCCTAAGCATTCTGCTAAGAGATTTTATCTGAGTCATTATGGAAGAGGACATAGACCTGATAAAACTTTTAGAAACAGGAACTTTCAAAATTGAGATGACAGGGTATGTTTTGAGAGTATAGCAATTTGAAACCACTTGACTTGGGTTGAAAATCTGGGTCAAGAATACCTAGGAAGTCCACCTAGGTTTCCTTAATAAATATGACCTGCAAAGCAGTGGGTGTTCGGATTTTATAGAAAACATAAGTAGCTTGCTGTTCTAGAGCAAATGTGGGACAGCATACTGAAGCCAGCCTAGCTGAGCCCTGAGGGTTTTCCAATCAGATCTCTCTGAATGAGCTTTGTCTTTGCATAGTCAAAGTGAGGGTTCAAGTTCTGCCTGACTAATTTTTTTTTTGAGTTGGAGTCTCACTCTGTCACCCAGATTGGAGTGCAGTGGCACCTTGCTCACAGGCCACTGCAGCCTCGATCTGCTGGGCTCAGGGGACCTTTCTATCTTAACCTCCCAAGTAACTGGAACTACAGGTGTGCACTAGCATGCCTGGCTAATTTTTTTATTTATTATAGAGATGATGATGTCAAGTTGCCTGAGCTGGTCTCGAACCCGTGGGCTCAGACGATCCTCTTACCTTGGCCTCCCAAAGTGCTGGAATTATAGGTGTGAACCACCACGCCTGGCCTTGCCCGATTGATTATAAGAGTTCAGTACTGGGTAGTCCACCACCATCTCAAAACTTCAGGCCCTCGAAGCTTTCCGTTACTCTTATACTAATTGGGTTCTATTTCCTATTATTTTTCTTAATAGATAACTGATGCACTCACTGCTATTGCCCTGTATTTTGCAATCCAGGACTTCAATAAAGTTGTGGTAAGTAGTTGGTGGGACATAGATGATGGAATTTGGTAACCTGCTGGTCTTTGTTGTTACAAAGAATCAAAGTTCCTGTACTTAAGTATCTAACTGCTTTAAAATGCTAAGAAGTTGGGGGCTGGGTTCAGTGACTCAGGCCTGTAATTCCAGCACTTTGGGAGGCCTAGGCAGGAGAATTTCTTGGTCCCAGGAATTCAGTTCCCGCCTAGGCAACATAGCGGAGACCTCATCTCTATACAAAAAATAAATATTTATAAAAAGAAAATAAAAAATAAAATAGTAAAAAGTGAGAATGAAGCTTCTGACCTGTTCAGTCAGCCCTAGAATGATCAAGCCCATACCCACAGACAGCTCTACTAATAGATACAGAAAGGCCAGCGTAGCCGGGCTTGGTGGTTCAGCCTGTAATCCTGCACTTTGGGAGGCCGAGGTGAGTGGATTGCCTGAGCCCGCGGGTTCGAGACCCGCCTGGGCAACTTGGTGAGACCTCATCTCTACAATAAATAAAAAAAATCAGCTGGGCATGGTAGCGCATGCCTGTAATTCCAGCTACTCGGAAGACTGAGGTGGAAGGATCGCTGGAGCCCAGCAGGTTGAGGCTGCAGTGGCCGGGAGCAGCCACTGCACTCCAGGATGGGCAACAGGGTGAGACTCCACTCAAAAAAAAAAGAAAGGTCAGCTTAATCAATGTAGTTTATTGATAATTATTAATATTCACACACCTGTGCAAGATCAGACTTCTGGAGTAGAATTAAACAACAGTTATAT